GTCTCCACACATGGCAATAATCCTGTTAATAAAGAAAAAGAACCTTGACAAAAGAAAACCTTTTGCAACAAAAATTTGGGGATTTTTTGCTGGGTTTTATGATTTATTAATTATTTTTTTAAAGGAATTTAGGATAATGTTCAGTTCTTAAAGCAAGCTGTCTATGTTCAACTAAATGCAATATTACAAACACACTCTCATTAATATATATATACGCACACCCTTAACTAAGGAATATCTCATCAACAATTACTGATAAACATCACAACATAAAAATATTTGAAGACTGAAAAGGAGATGTAGAACTTAACTAAATTAAACACAAAAATATAATTACCAGCATCCTGGAAAAATTACATACTACATTAACAGAGAAAAGAGCATTAATACTTCTGTCATGCAGGACATAGAGCATATATGATAGACCTGTATAAATTTGGAGAAGTATCAATATATTCTGGTAAGAAATAACTGCATGTAATTATACAGTGAAGACTACGGAAATGCTTACCAGAAATGGTCACTATTCTACACTTAGTCTAGTATCCATACTACAAAATAAGAAGAAAAAGGAATTTGTAACAAGAGTGTATGCAATTTAAATGCCTTTAAATAGAAAAAAGCTTAAAATTTAAAAAAATTCAATAAAGATTAAAATTTAAAACATTTCAATAGTTTAACACTTATAAAATTGCTAATCTTACTAACTAATGTAAGGGGGGTAGGGGTGTTTGTTTTGCGGTTGGTGGTGTGTATTTTAGAATTCAGATTTGTAAATACATTTTGTAAGTGACAAAAGTGGGACTGAGTGCACTCTCAGCAAATTTCCTGATGACACCAAGCTGTGTGGTGCATTCGACACGCTGGAGGGAAGGGATGCCATCCAGAGGGGCCCGGACAGGCTGGAGAGGTGGGCAGGTGCTTACATTATGAAGTTCAACAAGGCCAAGTGCAAGGTGCTGCACCTGGGTCGGGGCAATCCCGGGCACAAGTATAGGCTGGGTGGAGAATGGAATGAGAGAATCATAGAATCATAGAATGTTTTGGGTTGGAAGAGACCCCAAAGATCATCTAGTTCCAACCCCCCTGCCATGGGCAGGGACACCTTCCACCACACCAGGTTGCTCAAAGCCTCATCCAGCCTCGC